GCCAGCCCGACAGCGGCCGGTGCCGCTGTGCGCCCGGCTACACGGTGAGGCGCGGCCCGGCGGGGCCCCGGGGGCGCGGCGCGGCGGAGCCGGGCCGCCCGCTCACAGTCCGGCCCCGCTTTCAGGGCCCGCACTGCGCCGGCCTCTGCCCGCCTGACACTTACGGAGTCAACTGCTCCGCACGCTGCTCCTGCCACAACGCCCTGGCCTGCTCGCCCATCGACGGCGCCTGCGTCTGCAAGGAGGGTGAGGGCGTGGGGTGTCCGGGGAGGGGCGGCGTGGGGGCGGGCCCACGGGAGAGAAGGCGGGCCCGGGCCCGGGGAAGGCGCGAGGCTGCAGGGTGAGGGCGGCGCCCCTGGTTAGCAGCAGCTGGACGGTGGGAAAGTAGCCAGCCTACTTCCTTCCTGGAATATCCACTTTGCTTTTCTTCAACCACAAAAATCCTGCTTGCGCTTAAAGGCCCAGGCCAGAAGGCCCCTCTCGGCGAGCATTCCTCACCCTCTGTCATCTAGAACCGCGCGATGTCAGGGCCAGGAGGGACTTCTGAGACCTACCCGGGTGGCCCGTTGGCCACCTCTAGGCTGGATTCTAACACGGATGTGTTTTATTTGGGCTGTTCTCTGTTATGTTTAACCAACCTCCGGTCTGCAGTCGCCTGCCCTCCCCGTAGTCTGCCGCGTGATCTGTGTGACTCATTTAGTTACCTGGTGGGGCCTGTAAGCACTTGGGTCGCTGCCAGCTCCCCTCATTCTGCAGGAGAGGCGGGCCCCAGAAGGGGGTGGCTCGCCGCAGGCGGCCGCTCTGCCTCTGTCCAGCTTCTACCAGTGTATATGCCGGTCCCCTGTGTGGGCCGGGAGGGCCCCCCGCCCGCCCCCCCCCCCCCGCTCGGAGCCCAGAGCCTGGCACGGCTGAGGCCTGGTGTGTGCTACCCCGGGAGGGCTGGAGCCCTAGGCCTACCTGCAGGGCCCTTCTTCCAGGTTGGCAGCCTGGTAACTGCTCTGTGCCCTGCTTACCTGGAACCTGGGGCTTCGGTTGCAACGCCAGCTGCCAGTGCGCCCACGAGGCAGCCTGCAGCCCCCAGACCGGGGCCTGTACCTGCACCCCTGGGTGGCAGGGGGCCCACTGCCAGCTCCCGTGCCCGGTAAGCACTCTAACAGCCTGCCTGCCCAGGGAATGGCGGGTCGCAGCCTCCTCCCTGCCAGCTGACTGGCCTACCCCCACCCCACCCCCTCTCCAAGAAGGGACAGTTCGGTGAAGGCTGTGCCAGTCGCTGTGACTGTGACCATGCTGACGGCTGTGACCCTGTTCACGGACGCTGCCGGTGCCAGGCTGGCTGGACGGGTGAGCATTCTAGGTGTCCAGGCCCCAGGCCCACAGCGGGGTTGGGGGATGCATCCTAAGTGTGTCCAGAAGAGCCCCTGTGGACACCGGGGGCCCAGGCTGGGCTCACCCTACCCTTCTCTCCCACAGGCACCCGCTGCCACCTGCCCTGCCCCGAAGGCTTCTGGGGGGCAAACTGCAGTAACACCTGCTCTTGCAAGAACGGGGGCACCTGCATCCCCGAGAACGGCAATTGCGTGTGTGCGCCTGGGTTCCGAGGCCCCTCCTGCCAGAGATGTGAGGCCCCCCCTTTCCTTCCCCCACCTGGGGCCTGTAAGCACTTGGGCGGTGCTTACAGCAGTAGGGGGCGGTGCAACATCAGTTGCCGGAAGCCCCGCCCCCACTACCCCGCTCCAGTGGGAGGGAGGGAGGGAGGGAGATAGCGGGTCAAGGGCTGGCTGAGGGTTCTCCCCTGCCCCCCAGTCACCGCCAGTCTCTCTCCCGCAGCCTGCCAGCCTGGCCGCTATGGCAAACGCTGTGTGCCCTGCAAGTGTGGTAACCACTCCTCCTGCCATCCCTCGAATGGGACCTGCTACTGTCTGGCTGGCTGGACGGGCCCCGACTGCTCCCAGCGTACGTGCTGGCCTGTGTGGGGGAGTGCGTGTGTGTGCTGAGAGGCGGGCTGAGGGCCAGAGGCTCCTGTTCCCCTGCTGCGGGGCGTAAAAGCCTCTGCACCCACTTGGATTCGGTAACTTATGTAAACAACGCAAACAGATCCATAGTGGGTGTCCCCTACAACGCGGGTCCTGTTCCACGTGCTCAGGGAACGCCCACCCTTCTGCACGGGACGCCTGGGAAGGGCATTACTCGACCAGGCGCGGGGTGGGGGGAACCCCAAGCTTGGTTTTGGGCACGTGCTTTTATCCCCTCTGCGCTTTTCAATTTATATTTATTTGTATATTTATGGGGGCTTCCCCCCCCCATAAATATATAAAGAACATCACGGAAAAGGTTAGTCCCCCAAACCACAGACAGCAAGTGTTGGAAACGGGAAGTGAGGAGATGTGGCCACAAGAAAGGCTGGGTGCAGGGGCGGTGGGCGAGGGGCATATCTAGGGGAAAAGTTTCCCATAGGATGCGGTCCCGGCCACCATTAGATTATCTGCTAGTGTCACACACACAGAAGTTATGCCTCAAAGGGTTTACTTCTCTCTTAAGATAAAGACGTAAAAAAGAAACCAGAGCTAAGCAATGCAGGGTAGTTTGAAAGCCTTTGGTTGTCTGGCCTTGGCCCCGCGAGTCTGAAATGGCTGCTAGATAGCCAAGTGCAGGTTCCAGTAGGCAGCTGGGCACGTGAGAAGCATGTGTGACTCATCGGTGTGCGGCTGCGGTTCAAAAACTTGGTGTCCCCGGGAGACCAAGGCTGAGAAGATTTCAGGGAGCTGGGGCTGAGGGTTCATCCAGACGGGGGTGGCCCTGCCCCACCGGACAGCCACCTTGTCTCCTGCAGCGTGCCCTCTAGGACACTGGGGAGCCAACTGCGCCCAGCCCTGCCAGTGCCGCCAGGGGGGGGCCTGCCACCCCCAGGATGGGAGCTGTTTCTGCCCCCCAGGCTGGACTGGATACCTCTGCTTAGAAGGTACCCAGAGAAGCGAAACTCCCGCCCCTCCCCCAAGCCCAAGGCGGACACTGCAGATCTGGGTCCCTCAACCCCACTGCCTCCTTGCCTGTCCCGCAGGCTGCTCTCCGGGGATGTTCGGTGCCAACTGCTCCCAGTCCTGCCAGTGTGGTCCTGGAGAGAGGTGCCACCCAGAGACGGGAGCCTGTGTGTGTCCCCCGGGGCACAGCGGCGCCCCCTGCAGGATTGGTGAGTTCTCCTGTTGGCCCCGATGGTCCCCAGGGCACCAGGACGGTCCCCTTATGGGCCCTGCCCCCCTCCCGGGGCCTGTCCTATGCGGGCACCCCAAGCTCACGGGCAGAGCCAAGACTGCGCTGAGTGGCCATCCCATCCCCCTAGGAAGCCAGGAGCCCTTCACCATGATGCCTACCTCTCCGGTGGCCTATAACTCGCTGGGGGCAGTGATTGGCATTGCGGTGCTGGGGTCCCTGGTGGTGGCCCTGCTGGCACTGTTCGTCGGCTACCGCCATTGGCAAAAAGGCAAGGCACACCAACACCTGGCCGTGGCCTACAGCAGCGGGCGGCTGGATGGCTCTGAGTACGTCATGCCAGGTGAGCTGGACGCGGGGCTGGCGCGTGGGCTCCCGGCGGATGGGGTGCGGGGCTCCCGTGTCCCTCCCTGGATCCGGAAGAGGCGAAGCGGGGAGCTGGAGGGGAGAAGAGAGGTCAGATCTGCCGGGACACAACAACTGTCTTGGGCCCGGGCCTCTCGCTGACCGGCCAGGTCATGACGCGCCCCGTCTGTTCGCGCAGATGTCCCTCCCAGCTACAGCCACTACTACTCCAACCCCAGCTACCACACCCTGTCACAGTGCTCACCGAAACCCCCGCCCCCGAACAAGGTCAGTGCTGGGGGAGAGAAGGCACCGCGGTTGGGGGGGGGGGGCGCACACCTACTTCTCTGGAAAGCTCCATTCTTGTGTGTTCTCTCCCCCTTCCGCCCCTCCCCTATCAGCTTCCGGGCAGTCAGCTCTTTGGCAGCCTGCAGGTCCCTGAGCGGCCAGGGGGGGCTCACGGGCAGGATAACCACAGCACCCTGCCTGCGGACTGGAAGCACCGCCGGGAGCCCCCTGCAGGGCCTCTGGACAGGGGTAGGAGCCTGGAGGCCAAGGCGTCTGGAGAGGGGGGCTCGTGCGGCTCAGCACCTGCTCCCTCGGAGCCTGTGTGTCCGCAGAAGGGTCCTGGGCTCTGGTTCCGGGGCAGGTGGGAGCCTGGGGAGGAGCGCGGGGTCCGACTGCTCATTGCCTCCCTCTCCCCCTGCGCAGGTAGCGGCCGCCTGAGCTACAGCCACAGCTACCGTAGCAGCAGCGACGGCCCAGGCCCGTTCTCTGGTAAAGGTACGGGCGCAGGGGTGAGGCAGGAGGCCAAGCTGGGGTTTGGGCGCCGGTGCGCCCACAGAGCCTGACTCCTTTCCCCTCTCCTTGGGGCCCATCTCCGAAGAGGGGCTGGGGGCCAGCGTGGCTTCCCTGAGCAGCGAAAACCCCTACGCCACCATCCGGGACCTGCCCAGCCTCCTCGGGGGCCTCCGGGAGAGCAGCTATGTGGAGATGAAAGGCCCCCCCTCAGGGTCTCCCCCCAGGCAGCCCCCTCCACTCCGGGACAGCCAGAGGCGGCGACACCCCCAGCCACAGAGAGACAGTGGCACCTATGAACGGCCCAGCCCTCTGACCTATGGTGAGTCCCCCTTCTCCGCTGGGGCAGGGGCTACAGGGAAGCAGGACGAGGGAGGGAGAAAGAAGGGTAGGGGGGAGAGAGCACAGAGTGGGCCCGGTGCAGCACCAAGAGCGTGGACCTTGGGGTCAGACTGGGCTCGCACAGGCATCACGTCTGGGAAGTCACGTTGCCTCCAAGGGCCTGTGAGTGGTGGCCTGCCTCCCAGGGCTGAGGATTTGAAATGGTCTGACAGCACCTGACTTGTGGCGTTGGTACTCAGAAAAGAGGGGAACAAGGCTGGGGACAAAGTGTCCTCATAACCTATGAGGTGGGCAGGTCCAGGTGGCCTCCCCCCGACGGCAGCTGAGGAGATACACAAACTGGCACCGTCCGTCCGTCGTCTGTCTGTGGGCAGGAGGGGCTGGGGAGGGGAAGGGTGGGGTGAGGAGGGAGGAGCCACCTCCCGCCCTGTCCCTTCTCTGTCCCCAGATGGAGACTCTGTGGGCTCCCAGCCCCCACTGCCTCCGGGCCTGCCCCCTGGCCACTACGACTCCCCAAAGAACAGCCACATCCCTGGACACTATGACTTGCCCCCAGTACGGCATCCCCCGTCACCCCCAGTTCGGCGCCAGGACCGCTGAGAGGTCGGGGTGGTGCGCAGAGGCCAGTACCTGCCCTTCGCGGCCCGGGGCTGGGGGCAGAGCCTGCTGTACCCTGCCAGGAGCGGGGAGAGGACCGGCAGGCCGTGAACGTGAACACGCCTGACAGAGGAAGCGAATGTCCGAGACACCGGGGCCTGGATCCCGGGTTCCATCGTGGGAGACACCGGTCAGCAGGAGGCCTGCCTTCCCTTTTGTATGTTTCGCAACCTGCTGCTCCCCAGGGCCCCAAGGCCTTTGTACATAAACTGGTGGGTTGAATGTTGCTGGAAAACTCTGATTTCAGATTAATGTCAAAAACGTATATTGGGCTCCTTTTCTGCGCACTCAAGGCTGTGTGTGTGTGTGTGTGTGTGTGTGTGTGTGTGTGTGCAGAGGGCCTCCAGGCACACACCCTGTCTGGGGCACACACTGTGCAGTCGAGAGGCAGCCCAAACTCAGCGAACTCCAGCAACAGCCTAACTGGCCTCCTTGCACACTGGCACCTGTTCCAACCGGCTGCTCAGGATAGACAGTGGTTAGTTACCCGTGTGTGGACGTCTTCGTGGGTGCCCCATGGCTCTGGGACCAGACTCAGAACTGTCACAGGCCTTAGGGGCTCTGCTGGCCTGGCCTGGCCTGTCTTCAGCCTCACCTTGAACTGTATTCACTGTCACTCCGTTCTAGTCACCCTGGGCTCTAGATCCACCTACCAGCCACACTTCTTCCTACCCCGGGGACTTTGCACATCCGGTGCTCTTGTCTTCCGCTCACCTGTTAGCTGCTACTTGTCCCTCACATCCGGTCCTCAGGGAAGCGCCTCTCTTGCTCCCCTCTGTTGTGTAGCACTGATTCCAGCTGTGTTCATCCACCGGATACCTGCAGAAGGTCCTCAGGGTACCAGTCCTCCCTGTAATGTGGTGTTTGTGGGATCATTTGATTAATCTCTGCCTCCCCCCTCCCCCCCCCCCGTAGGCTCCCTGGAGGCAGGGATCACGTAATATGCTCAACATCAGTTCCCCTTGGTATACAGTAGGCACTCAATAAATGTCCCCCAAAGGGCGAGCGGCTAAGTGAGCTGAAAGCACCAGTGGTAAGCACCATTAAGTAGGCAGCCTGCGAACTGAGCTGAGGGGCGGCCCATGTGGGCCGCTTCCCGGAAGAGTGGCACGTGCACAGGGCGGCACAGGAGGTCGGCGCCAAGGCTCCCAGGCGGGAGGTGCTGGCAGTGGCAGGGGGGAGCAGAGCTGGGTGGGCTGCGGAGGCTGGAGGCCGGAAAGCAGCGGGAAGAGGGGAGGCTCACAAGGGCTGTGGAACCGCCGGGGCTAGATGACCTGAGGACTTTGAATCCAGGATTTCTGAGAAGCGAGATCCGCCTCGTGACCTCATTAGCGGACCCACTAGCTGCGCACACTTCCCAGTGTGCTAACCACACGGGGGGTCGGGAATAAAACCCAGCGCCACGCCTTTTCCATCAGGAGCCCTCTCCTTACAGGATAGGAGGGCGCACCCCAGAAAGTGGGTCTGCCCCCCCCCCCCCCCCCCCTTCCAAAATTCCCCGACTGCCGCATCCCGGCTCTCCGGGACGCAACTTCCCGAGTGACTTTGGATGCCCCGCCCGCCTCCGTCCCGGCCCCGCCTCTTCCCACCCCCCTCCCGCGCTCAGTCTTTGACTCCGCCCCCGAGTTCTCCCGCCCGCAGTTGTAACCGTTCTTCCCACCGGCCCCGCCCCCGAGCTCCCCAGCCCGCGGCTGTGAGTGGTCCTCTTGCCGGCTCGGGCCCCGCCCCGCCCCCTCGCTCTCTCCTTGGCTCCGCCCCCGGGCTCCCCCGCCCGCGGCTGTAACTGTTGCGCCCTCCCGTCGCGCGCGTTGTCTTGGAGAGGGACGCGGAGACCACGGGGCGGCGGGCGCGGCGGGGCGGTGGCAGCGGAGTAGAGACCCCAGGTTCAGTCCTCCCCCAGGGCGAGCCCCACAGAGTCCCGTCTCGCCTCCGCGCCGCGTGGGCCGTCCCAGGGCCGCTGCGGACGGCGCCGGCATGTCCGGCGAGGCGAGTACGCCCGGGGCCTCCCCCAGGGCCCCGCGTCCCGGGACCCAGAAGTCGTCCGGCACGGTGACCAAGAAGGGGGATCGCGGGGCCAAGGAGAAGCCGGCCCTCGTCCTGCCGCCGGTGGGCGAGGAGGAGCCCAAGAACCCCGGTAGGCGGGCGGGTGGGCATGGTCGCTGTGCGGGGCGCAGCGCCGGCCTGGAGCGCGCGGCGGGCGAGCCGGGGGTCGCCGTGGGAGCTCCGGTGCTGAGGCTCGCTGTGTTCAGCTGGTGCGTGTAACCAGCTCCTGCGTGGTGACCCTTATTAGGCGTGTGGCCCCGGGCACCCTTCTGTGTAGTGCGGACATGGGACATGTGAGAAACAAGGGAGCTGGCGGTGGGAAGGTGTTTTGTAAACTGCAAATTCCTTTGTTGATCCCACGAGCGTACATTGTGCACCCCTGTGCCCAGCTCTCTGCTCCATCTTGGCCTACAGATCACGGTTCTCGCAGCCCAGCTCTTGAAAGTCAACTTGGCACAGCTTTGAATCGAACTCGATCCCAAAGAACCCACCCTGTGGTTTGGGACGCTGACAAACAGGATAAGGTGTGATAAGATGTATGAGAAGAAGGCCCCGGGGAGGGACATCAGGTGCGGGGAGGGGAAACTACCAGGAGGTGACTTTGAGTTGATTTTTATTTACTCATTCATTCAACAATTACTTTCTGGATGCAGAGATGCACAGGGTCCATTCACACTCTCTGGGGAAAGAAAACCAGAGGAGTCAGCGTGTGGCTCTGTGTGTTGCAAGGGACAGAACCCCAGCCCACATAAATGATCCACAAAGGGGAATTTACTGGAAGTCTTTTTTTTTTTTTTTTTTAAGTAGGGGGGCGCCTGGGTGGCGCAGTCGGTTAAGCGTCCGACTTCAGCCAGGTCACGATCTCGCGATCTCGTGGGATCTCGTGATCTCGCGGTCCGTGAGTTCGTTCGAGCCCCGCGTCGGGCTCTGGGCTGACGGCTCCGAGCCTGGAGCCTGTTTCCGATTCTGTGTCTCCCTCTCTCTCTGCCCCTCCCCCGTTCATGCTCTGTCTCTCTCTGTCCCAAAAATAAATAAACGTTGAAAAAAAAATATTTTAAAGTAGGCTCCACACCCAACGTGGGGCTCAAACTCATGACCCCAAGATCAAGAGATGTGCCCTCTACCAACTGAGCCAGCCGGCACCCCTGTTGGAAGGCTCCTTGATTCAAATCCATCCACTTTGAGAGGGACGGGGCTTGCTGTCCCTGGACTCACGGGAAAACCACTTGGGAAGAGGCTCTGATAGTCAGAACTTGGTCAGGGGCTCCCTCCTCGTCAGGGTGGCTGGGGGGTGGGGAGCTGTGAGAGCTGGAGAAAGAGCATTTTCCAGAAGGAGAGACAAGACAATGTAGAATGTTTTACAGGTAGGAACCCAGCTGCATCACCCCCCCCCCCGCCCCCACCGCTCTGCATAAACAGTGGAGAGGAAGGGAAGAGTGTGGAGGCAGGGAGGTGAATCCAGGCATTTCGCCAGTCCACACGGGGGACAGTGGTAGTTGGGGTAGAGCAGCGAGGGAGAAGGAGTTAGACTTCTTGGAAAAATAGCTCCCAAGTAGAAGCCGTAAGAACCGGTGGAGTCTCGGCTCGGGTGGGAAGTGAAGGGAGAAATGATTCCCAGGTTTCTGGGCCCGGCAGTAGGTGGGTTGAGGTGCCGTCCGCGCAGACAGGAAAGCCTGAAGCAAGGGCACGTGGGAGAAGTCCCCCAAGGGGTGCCGTCAGCTGGACACCTGGGTCCCGAGCACCCAAGAGAGGGAAGGCTGGAGCTGGCACTATGGGAGCTGCTGACGTCCGGGTGTATTTAAGGCCTGGGGAGGAAAGAGGTTCCCCTGGGGCAGCGGGGAGCATGTGCAGAGAAGAGTGGAGCACTTGGAGGCACTGTTGGGGGGAGCAGCTGGCAGAGAAGCTGACAGGTGGGAGAGAGTGGGGGTGGCGACCGCCCAGGGCAACACGGAGTGGCACTGAGGGCAGTGGTGGGGCAGATGAGGGGCTCAGGGCTCCAGCCGGGTAGAGAGTGATGGCGGCCGCAGGAAGGTTTAGAGATTTAGTGGAAACCCCACCTGGTGGCTTCTGTTTCTCAGGAAGTGCAAGGCAAGGTCAGCCCAGAGCGTGAGGAAGGAGTGTGGGAGGGACGGAGCCGGGACAAGCCCCCTTTAGAGCTTCACTGGCCACCAGGTAAAGGCCGCCTGAAGCGCAGGGAGCATTTCCATGTGCCCGCGAACTTCTGCTGGGCAGCCCGGCTCCAGAGCAGAGGCTCTCAGCCGCCGGCCTTGGACCAGTAGCTTTGGCATCACCGGTTTGTCGTTAGCTTGTTAGAAATGCAAATTCACAGACTCCACGTGGCCCTGGGAATCAGGGTCTCTGGGGAGGGGGCCCAGGAAGCTGTTTTGACCGGCTCTCCTGGCTTGTTCAGGTTTGAGAATCTCTGTTACAGAGAAGGGTGGTGGGAGCAAAGGGAGGAAGGGGTGAGGGGCTCCCCCAGCAGGGGGAACAGCCCGGAAGGCAGGCGGTGTGCAGGAGGCGGCTGTGCAAGGGGGTTCCCTGGGGCCCTGAGCCTCCTCTCAACCGCCTTGTCCCTGGAGCTGATGTGTCTTGTGCCCCTGTGGCCCCCCCCCCCCCCCCCCCCCGGTCTCGCTCCTTTGCCACGAGAACCTGTCTCGTCCCCACTTGTTCTGAGCACCTGCTTCCAGACCATCTGGGCCTCCGGGCAGGCTCCCGGGTGGTCAGCTGCACCGGTTCTCCTCCGGCTCGGCTCAGCACAGGCCGGTGGTGGTGCCTCGGGGGCTCCGGCTCCAGGTTGCCAGCACTTGGAAGAGCAGGCTGGTACCAGGTCAACCCTTCGGCCTCCAGACTCTCCCCTGCGCCAGGGACAGCCCTTCCCATCTTCAAGAACCACTTCTTCCTGGGATGCACATGGGGAAGTGGGAAAGACCTCGGGTCCCTGAGGACTCCAGGTTGCATAGCCCTCAGGATGGGATGTGGGGAGCGTCGGTCTGAATGAATGGGAGTCTTGAGTGAAGTGATGTTTCTAAAGCACTCAGAACAAACAAGTGCTATAAACACGTTGCTGCGTAAATAAAAGCCCGAGGCTCTGCGGCAGCTCGGTGTCCGTGTGGGATGGGGGCGGGGTGACAGGTGCTCCTGGCTTCCTTCCCAGGCTCACGTCGGTCGGGCCTGGGCTTCTTTCCCCGGGTGACGCTGGGCCGTCCCAGCAAACAAGGGGCACGGGAGGAGGCCCGGCTGGGGACACTGTGGGAGGTGGAGCGCCCCCCTGCCCCGGGGCGGGGAGCGCAGCGCAAGCGGCCTTGACCCGTGGGTGGGTGGAGCCCCCAGCGCAGAGGGGAGGCGCCCGGCAGCCCCCTTTCTCCCGGGTCTGGGTTTCCCGCGGTTTGCCCTTAAGTGTCCCCAGCGTGGGTCTTTACCACGCATCTTAGATTAAACACTGGCTGTAAGGATGCCGTTCCGGGAGGGGGGCGCCCAGCCGCCGCGGGGCCCGAAGCCCCGGGCGGCTGAGCCTGGGGACGCGTCGCCGGCGCGGTCCCCGTGGGCGCCCGCTGCTCTCTGCTGCCCCCCCTCCCCCTGGCCACGGTGGGCCCGGCCGCCCTCACCTCCCGCCGCCCCGCAGAGGAATACCAGTGCACCGGGGTCCTCGAGACGGATTTCGCCGAGCTCTGCACGCGCTCGGGCTACACGGACTTCCCCAAGGTCGTCACCCGGCCTCGCCCGCACCCGGCCTTCGTTCCCTCCGCCTCGATGTCGGAAAAGCCCGCCCAGGGTGAGTGAGTGCCAGGGGAGCCCCTAGGGGGCCTGCCGGGTGGCCCCCCTTGGCGGGGGGGGCCAAAGCGGGGGGGGGGGGGGGTTGCGCAGGGCAGGGGTGCGGCGCGCCGAGGGGAGGCTTCCAAGTGGCGGGTGTGGAGGCGGGCGAGTCTCCCGCCTTCCTCCACAAACCCTCGGCGACCCTGGCCCGGCCACACCTGGGGGCTACTGCCCTTTGGCCGCCCTGGGCCGGCGCTTCTGTTTCCTCCCTCTTCACCCCGCTCCTTGCACCCCTGCCTTGCAGACGATCAGCGCCTGTCGGCGTCTTGCAGCCTCAACAGCCTGGAGAGCAAATACGTGTTTTTCCGGCCCACGATCCAGGTGGAGCTGGAGCCCGAGGACAAGTGGGTGAAGGAAATCTACATCCGCGGTGAGCCCCGCCCCCGGGGCCCCCCCCCCCCGGGGGCCCCCCCCCCCCCCGCACCGCGGACTTTCCCCCGGCCTGAGTCCCGCCCCGCGGTGCCCTTCCGCCCCGAGTCCGCGCCCCCACCCCCGCGGACCTCCCCTCGTTCTGAGTCCCGACGCTCCCCCACCCCGCGTGCCCCTCGCCCGGGTCCGCCCCCCACCCCGCGCTGCCCCGCCCCCTGGACCTGAGCCCCGACGACTCCCGGCCCCGCGGTGCCCCTCCGCCCTCAGTCCGCCTCCCACCTCCCGGCGGTGCACCCTCCCCCCCCCGCCCCGCAGTCACCCCCACACCGCGGACCCCCCCTGGCCGGGGCCTGAGGCCCCTCCTTCCTCTTGCTGCCACAGGTTGGAG